AGGCTGTACAGTCTGCGTGGGAGCCACTATGGGTAATATGCCCATATTAGGCAGGGTATTGGCTGTAGCCGATCCATAAAAGGAAAATCAAGGCTTCATTGCCGAGCCGGATTCGGTGATATGGCGGCTATAAGATTATAGTGAGCCTCGAGAGGACACTCAGTCATCGGTCCAAAATATTGAGAGTTTTGTGCCTTCTGGTTGTGCCCAGTTTTGCTTCAATGGGGGCATAATGTGTCATTTCAACACATGGTAACTTTTTATACACAAATTGAAGCTATTTCACAGCTGGTTATCGACCCGAGCTCGAAATTTTTTCAAAACAACCCATTTCCTGTCTTTTGAGCCTTATAACTTCCACATCGAGATATCCGCTTGTCACTATAACGCAGGATCATATGGAATGACATTAAAACATAATTATCATGAATTTAGTTTGGTAGTTTTACACCGGAAACGGCCACAAAAGACAGTTGTACATCCTGACGGTGGTGTACATTCTCACGGGGGATGACAGTAAGAAGACATCAAGCGTAATCGGGGCATTTTCGGGACAGACTATGAATGACAGAATCGGCTGAAGAGCCATGGATTGAATAGACGGTTAGGTTAGTGTTGCCGCATTTGGTGAACTGGCTGGAACCAAGTCGAAGAAACCTACACTTGCACTTGTCATCAGTCCAAATAACACACCTCGTCGCTGCGTAGAGACTGAAAACTGCTAAGATTAACACTTGCTTGGTCCGTATTGTGGCGGGAAAGCGTGTTTCAAGGAGTCGGTTTGAGCTGGTTTCCCGAACCGCGGCAACACTAGGTGAGGTAGGGTTGAGACATGATGAGAACAAAAGTGGAGCAAGACAAACATGTACAATTAAAAGCCGAGGATGTGCTGAATGATACGGAGAGATTTCTGTTTGCGCAGGCTGGACCACGTGTATGAAACGTGGTACAGGATAAAGCATGTCAGGGTTAGGGCTCGCGCTTTCCCCTCTTACCATTGCCTCCATCGAACTACACAGACTCAGAGGTACGTCTAATGCTCTGGCTGAACATCGTCATTGACATCGCAAGGTGGCAGGTACTCGACCGACAGTCGAACACGCTTTCATGGATTCCAATGACAAAATGAATCAGAGTAGCCCCCTGTTCAAGCTCCTCTGTGGGGGCGAGCTATACTCGCTCATGTTGAGCTTCTTGACGGTCGTAAAGAAGACTCCACAGGGGGATATTGAGATTGCTGACATCAAGAGCTTGAAGAGCCTTGCACGCGTGTGCAAGCGCACCTTCGAGCCGACGGCTATCTTACTGTGGCGCGACACGAATATGCACCGGTTTACTCATGCAGCCCGAGTGCTTCCGCACCATCAAACTACGTACGGTGTAAGTGTTGATAAACATGACCATCGCCTTAAACTAATTGCATGTCATCAAGCGTTCCGTGAAATTGAGGACGACAAATATACGCAAGGAAATGGTGCTCAACTTGAAGATATATGCACAGTCGGTTCGCTCGTTTTGCTATGATGAGGGCAAGCCATATCTCCACCATGAATCTATTGGACGTCTACTGGCTGTAATGAAAATCGGTCCATCCCTCTTTCCCAATATTCAGCACCTTACCATGCCAATGCCAGAATACTATGATGCACGCCTGGCTCCTTTCTTGGCTTCATCTATCACCCATCTGACTGTAAATATCCCTTACAAGGATACTTCCACGCTTGACATGATTGCCAACACATGCCCGTCGCTCATTCAGCTCTCATTGACCTCAGTCGCCACTAACAGCGAGCACGCCAACCAGAAACAGCATCGGAGACTTGACCAAGAGTCTGTTTGCCATCGTAGTTCATCGCCTTGGGTTATTCAGTGGCTCACATCAATGGCACACCGTTTCGGAAACCTTCAAGTCGTGGCCGTTCGAACTCCGAGTAGTATCATGAGTCCACTCGGAGCCATCAACAATATCAGTCAGTTTCCCTCGCTGAAGGAGCTCACGCTTTCCATCTGGAACTCGACTGGCGCATTGGCTCCTCCTCTGCCACACCCGATCCCTGTGATCAAGTTCCCTCATCTTACCAGCTTGTCTATTGATTATGGTTCCGCATCCGATCTTGACAGGATGCTGCAATGCCTTTGCGGACAGCTCCAAGGTCTTGTAGCGATCAATTTGTCCTACAGCCTGATTGACCGAAAGCCGGAGCCCCACTCTGAGAATGCTCTATTTCAACACACTGTAGAAGCACTTTCTGGAAACACTTTGACGACACTCCGCATTCACAGGGCCCACATGTTATATCATGTCCAAGGCAATCCCCTCGATGCAGGTATTTTTCAGCAAGTGTGCAATTTTGTCCACCTTCGCAGTTTGTATATCGCCATGTCGCTCAGCATTCCCTTGAACGACAGGATGCTTGTTCAAATTGCTCGTTGCATTCCCAACTTAGAGACATTTGATGTTCGCCGATGGGACTCAAGCCCTGGGCAGACCAACACTGAGGAGAATGCGGTTACACTTGTTGGGCTGGCAGTCTTTGTAGAGACTGCTCAGAACCTTGCATTTCTTGGGCTTTCATTCAATTGTGATTCTGATGTTGATGTCCTTTCTGACCTTGGTCCGGAGCGCAATGTCAATGGAGGATCACGCGTAGTGGAGCTGGGAGTTGGTCCAGGGTATGTAGTAGATGCGGAGTTAACAGCTCGCCAACTCCTCCAGATATTCCCCAATGTCGAGGTGATTGACACTCGGAAGCTGAAGGAATGGGCGAAGCGCGTGTCAACCCTTGACAGATCATACGAGAATTATGCGTATGATTTACAGCCAACAACTCTCTACACTCGATGGAGGGATGTAGCACGACAAATGGACACGATACGTCCTTTGGATCACCCCAGGGATACAGATCAAGGCTGGAGGGCGGTTGAGGACTTATCGGCAAGTGAGGGATCTGTTAGCGAAGAGGAAGACTTGTATGAATTTGAGTCAGATTATGACGATGAAAGTACATATGATGAGGAAAGTCACTAGACAATGTGGGCCTGTCAGCCTGTGCATTCCCGTGTATATACAACAATGACCGGCTGACTTGACATGTACTGGAAGCTCGCAAGCGTTGTAACATCAGAGTGGCCCAGGGATGGAATGCCTTTGAACAACCCCATTTCCACTCCTGTCAAAGATAAGGCTCCCACATGATAGTATATTTACTAGGTGTATGACTCGTGGGCAGCCACGGGACATAAAGAGTTTAGAGCACTGGTTGCAAGGATGTTACCCATATACAACGTAGCATTAAAATAACGGACTACTTTCGTTTGCAAATGTTTGTAGCGCAGTATTGCGCAGTGTATCTCGAGATCACGAGGATCTGCGTTGGGCTTAATAAAGGAGTGAAGAAGTCGATGGGAAGGCGACTTACCGTGCGCTGCATGGCCCATGCCAATGCCAATGCCGAGTTCGTCGATTTCAGCGGGTTCATCGTCGGATGAGAGAGAAGCGCCGTCCATGAAGGCGGCCAGATTGGCCGCCATCGTATCTGTGTGGAGCTGGTTGACTGGCACATACATGAGGTAATCGTGGTCGACTGCGTCCCAGTCCACCTGGAGGTGTAGGCCAGACCCGTCTGGTCGAGATGAGATCGATGGAGGGGGCTGGGAATAGTCGAGGTCTGTGTCATCAAAGTTCTCGAAGTCTGCTGATTCGAGCAGACTTTAACTAGCGGCGTGACTGGGGAGATGAACAGTAGGGGGTGCACGCAGAGCAGCACGTGCGGTGACTCGGCGCTGGTGCTTGGTGGTATTCTCGTGCTGGTATGCCTTGGTGAAATCGCGCTATTCGACTTCTGCACATGCTCGACACCTGTATATGAACGCGAACGACCCAGTTCCGGCTGTCCAGTCTGTGGTATTGAAAGTAAATACTGTATGACTGTAGAATTTGAAGGTTACTTACGGTAGGGATTGATGGTCTGTCGAGAACGGGAGGTGGGCATGGTTAGACTGAGGGAGTGGTGGTGGTGGAAATGAAAGAGAAGCGTGAATCAATAAACCTTCACTAATGGTCATCCTTAGTGAAAAATTCTGACAGCTATCGTGAAAACGGTTGGGTTCAATGGTACTGATTTGTTTGGATGAGCTGTGTGCAAGTACTGTACCTACACAACCGTAGGTTCAAGGGATTTTTGCGTGACATGGAATCAAGATAAGTTCTGACGAGGCGAAAGTTCAAATGTCTGGCAGACGCGTGACTTTTAACCAGGATGGCTGGTGACATCTTCAAAACATCACTAAGAAAACGAAGATGAAGAGGGTGTTTCATTGGAAGGAGAAGCCAGCGAAGATCACGTTTCACAACGTCCCGGTATTCCTCATCCATTGGACTTGTACACAGGCGTCTCAAGCCCTCGCCACCGGTATGACTGACTCATTAAAGCCTGCCACTCTAGTGGGGAGCTCGACATTTCATCTTCGGTCAACTGCGGTCGTGGTAAGGGTCTCGAAAATCTTAAACTCACGGTACAAGGAAAACACTCGCTGTAGCGAATGGTTTTACTACATCAGAATATAATAGTACTGGTATTTTTCGTCACGCAGTGAGATTCATTCTCTTGTGTGATGGGTGACGCCCAATAAGAACAGCATCTATAATCGGATACCGGGCCATACTGGATTGTTGCCAATATACCCACATGTATCCAATTTGTAGATAGTCGATACCGAGGAATATGAATATATTTTTGTTCAACGTGGGGCTCGATCGTGTATACATTCTTTATATCTCTCCGTAGTTAGCAACTTGCAGAGGGCATACACACGATCGAACACGAGCACTCGCACAGCAGCCACTGTGATAGGTACGCGTGCTCGTGTACTGCAGACGCACTCGCAGACGCGTAGCACGTCTCTCAACATGGCTAGGCCGCCGCGAGAAGCGCGTGGGAAAACGGACTCGATCAAACGAATGCCCTCGACCTCGATGCGTCTCTCTTTCCCTTGTCTCTCTTTGTCTCTCCCTCTCGTCTGCATATACCCACGTCCGTTCACCCATCCCCTCTTTTCTGTATTCTCCTGCCACTCCTACTCCCACACCCACCGTTATGCCGGAAGCGGTGAG